CCGGCATAGGATCAATCAGGTCAATAACCTCCGCGGCAACCTCAGTCGGGAGTTGAGAAACCACGTAAGAAAACATGGTCTGCTGTGAGGTAATTCGGCGGAAACGGAAGTAACATTCTAGTTGGATAAACCATACTCTAGGGTTACTGATTTCATAAGCTGACAGTTTTGCGTGAACGGCGTTTTCAACCAACTCACTATTGAGTCCGTCATCGTAAGACATGGTTGAAAAAAATTACTGGACTAAGCGTATGCGTGAGAGATATGGGAGTTCTGAACTAGCAAGAAAAATAGAAAACAGCAAAGATGTTCGGGCTCACCAATTATGTAGTGGTTAACGGCCCTATGTAGTCTCTAGTGAACAGAGCAAATTACTGATGTAAGCCAGATGCAAAGTCACAAAGAGAAAAATACAAGTAAATCTTGCCTCACAGTTCAAAATGGGAGATTCCGTAGTTGCGTATTCCGTTGAACCACCACACCGAGAATAGTTCTATCTTCCTGGTATCCCAGATCCCCGGTGGTCGAAATATTATTCCACAAGCGTGAATATATTAGTCCGGTGTTTGTAGCCGAAATGTTTGTTCACGCTTAGTGTTAGCAGCGGTCAAATATAGCCAACCGGCGGTCACAACATCAGTCACTCAGCAAAAGTCTCAAAGTCACGTTGGAGCCAACGAGCGGGTGGTAGCGGTTGTATTTCAGTAAAACAAACTTTTGTACAGCGATGTGACTGTGATGGATGGGAAAAAGGAAGGTGATACTGAGCATGAAAAGCAGCAGTTCACAATTGCTACAGGTCCTCTCTCTTCTCCTGCGGCTTGTAATCACTATACTGAGCATGAAAAGCAGCAGTTTACAATTGCTACAGGTCCTCTCTCTTCTCCTGCGGCTGTATTGTAATCACTGTTGCCTCAGCCGGTTTCCGTACCAGATTCACCTTGTGTTCCACACTCAACCGGCCAGTTGCTATTGCAAACCGCTCGAATCCGATCGTCCCTACTGTTAGACGCTGGAGGTATCATCGGTTGTTCCCCTTATTGGCTCGTCCGTTGGCGGTGCATTAAAAGAATGACGGCTTTCCTGGAGCGCCGGAATTATTGCAAATGTGACCGAGATAATGAAATGGTGAAGGAGAACACGTAGTGAACATCTCCATAGTGGTTCAGACGCGGTTGATACAGCACGTTCTCAGGTCACGCGTAAGACTTGAACCGGCACTTGAACTCACTTAACCCATCATGACGTTCAGCGCAAAGGAAGGGAGCGGAAACAGATGAAACCGTCTAACCCAGGTTTATACAAAGACGCTATAGAGCCAGTTGCATACCATCACCCTGTGATGAACATGATTGATGCTCTATTCATTGCCCTACTTATTACTCCCTTGTTTTAATATTCCAGATGCTGTACACATACGTCAATTCCACGACCCTCGTGTTGGTTGTTACGCTGTGCTGAATTCAGAATTTCTGCTTCGTCTGGTTATACCTATATACGTGCGGAACATAATTCTCACATTTTGACGCCGGGATCGAACAATTCCGTCAATTCAACGACCCTCGTGTTGGTTGTTACGCTGTGCTGAATTCAGAATTTCTGCTTCGTCTGGTTATACCTATATACGTGCGGAACATAATTCTCACATTTTGACGCCGGGATTCGAACAATTCATTATGCCTGCCGAAACGGAACCTTTAAACGTTAATTTAGCTGCGCGAAACGCAGACGATTATTCGGAACGGTTCGACATATGGTGTCCCACAAAGTCTGCTACGGATAATAAGAAACTCACGGCATATTTCCTACACACAAGAAGACAAATGTGACTACGGTGCCCCATTGGAAAATATGTGAGCTGTATGAGGATGTGAAGCACGTAACGGAGACTGATGAAGCAGTGTTGTTAAATTACCCTTGGATGCGAATGACAGCAAATTCATATGAACTCAAACAACTGATTATAAAATGTACTAAGGATACAGGCGGCATGCAGATAACCAAGGCGGGACTCGAAGCCAGAGGAGATCCTCTATTTTTTAGGAGACGAATTATATCAGTTGGCTTACAGGTACCCGTTCATCAAGCATTAAATTCAGTGGTGTGAAAGGAATACCGACTCTTGTCGAATCATTGAATTGGGCCTCTCCGATATTTTTCATCAATAAAGGCCAATGGTATTACCCCGAGTATTTGTGGAGACTACCGGCTAACGTCAAATACGCGGTTACTGCAATGTAGGTGCACTTCAGGAGAGCCCGAAGATATACTGTATCGTCTATCAGGTACAAGTATGTTCTCAAAAATCGAACTAAAGAATGCCCATCTTCAAACACAACTGAAGGAAGCCTCTAGTAATATTACCGTGCTCAACACACTCTTTGGGTTATTCCGACACAATTTGCTTCTCTTTGGTCTGAATGTTTCACCAGCTGTATTTCGATAAGTTATTTATTATATAACAGACGATTTGGTGGGTGTTGAGAAGTACCAAGTTGGCGTCAATACCAGAGGTCAATCTGTTAACGACTCTCCCACTGTTTCCAGTACCCACAAATCCTTTGTAGCAGATCTAATGTTGTCCGAACAAAACGTTCTAGTTGAAGAGCACCATCTGCAAATAATATAAATTAATCATTCAAATGTTGCACCGTCCCATCCAAACTATTTCGACGATTGGGATACTGCCCTTTTCTAAACTGGAGCAGGGGAAACGTCAGGGTTTGGCCCGAACGTCGAACCATCCGACCAGTAAATTCGTGCCTTAACCACTGAGATATATCGAGCTCTCTAGAGAAAAGGTCCTCACATCAATACGGAGCATCTGCTAGTTGTACCATGACTTTTGTTGTAAATCTGAAAACTGAGGAGGAAGGACTGGACCGGAGTGCGTGATTCGCTTCTGTCGTTTTCGTAGCACGACCAGTACGGGCAAAACATATGTTATATTTCATGCGACTTGCTCAGCCTTATATATCCTGTTGTGGGAGGCAAAAGACATCTTTTATGCTAGTTACCCTGCAGAATATAGAAACAAAATGTCAATTCACACTTCTCTTGCCCCGGGAATTTCGATTGGGTCAAATATCATGCTCATGCATACGGTGTTCTACAAATCCTCGGGAGCGGTAAAGTTTAGGTGATTTATCCCTGGGACACAAATAATACCACGAGAAATTCGCGCACCGAGATGAATGAACCAACTCGTCATTTCGTCATTGAACATAATTCTGAAACTTAGTTCAGCTTACAATCAAGTTGAAATAGACCAGTATATACGAAAGACGCGGACAATGTGCGAATGAGATTATTTGTATCCATCAGAAAGGTCCGAATCCTGAAGGCAACCCTAGAATGGTCGGAGCCTACTGAGACCCTAATACTCCACCAAAATTTGAATAGGAAAGCCGGCAAGCATCCAGGCCAGTCAATCATTCAGTCAACTTGGCAAAAGCGGATGAGCGTTCATGCACGCCAAGAAGCACGACCAAATGTGATTAGCGTTCAGGCACGTTCGCTGTAGACCTAAATTCGCACGATCAATATTGATGAATGTTCGCTAAACGCCTATCAGACTGCCTGTATTAATTCCAGAAATTGCCCTTTAAATAGCTCGGAGCCGTTGTAACTTTTACACTAGCGCGCACGCGCTAATTTGGAAGAAGGCTGTTGTGTACCTCTTACGGCACTGTGCACAAGAGTGGGAAAAACAGTTACAGTAGCGTTTTTTTATTCTACTCTGACATTTATCCAAAATGAAGTGTATCTGAAGAGTTCCACCAGCTTGTAGCGAAAACTTGCTACAATCGATCGCTAAATTCTTTGTGTAACCGAAGTAATCAGATTGCCGTATATATGGGGTTTTGGCTCGATACCAGCCTCTGATGTTTTGTATGCCGTAGGGTACCAGTGGATTGCCCCGATGAAACACATTTCTCACAATAGAAGGAAATGGTGTGACTGCTGCTCTGATAAAGTCACAACAAAAGTTACCAGGATGGGGAATCCATGCTTCTTGGCTTGCCTATCGCCAATTCCTTGCAGTCAGTAGAACAATTTACCAACTAGCGAATGACGACGCATTTCGCGCTGGTGTTATGTAGTGGCTGGCTTCTAATAGAGACGGTGTTACCTGGCTCCTAACGGCAACTAATTTATTGCAGTGTAGGACTGTTTGTATAGTGTAGACCATATTTCACATGCAAACTTCCGTCGCAGTCTGTGGTCATCCGCTGAAGGGCCGTCCGATACGGAATGATTTTCTACGTTTGCCCAAAAATAGATATCCGCGGAACATGTGAATCAACCGTCACACCGCATCTACTCGGTGGCGTTGATTGGTCTTTGATATATTCGTCTGCCATGTTCTATCACCCTTGTTTCAATTGGACATCAGATTGTACGCCTATCAAATGAAACCCATAAATGTGAGATCTGCAGTGAGATGCTGAATGTTTTTCAGTAAACTTATGGGCGGCAGGTCATTTCAAGAATAGTTGTACAGATTTTGCTGTGTAACAACCGAGTGACTAACTGACCTCTTTTGTCGCCTGGCGTTTTATTGGTCAGTTCCTAAGCAGGTATTCTTCCTCCCCTGGTAATCGGTCTGTCCATTGTGCTGATTTCTGTGCGGTACTGCACATCCGGTTTATCCAAAATTTCTTCTTTGTAGTAACTGGATAATGATGCTTGATAAGATACATCTGGCTTGCAGTCGGTCCCGTCCAGTCCTAAGCGCATGGAAATCGAAAGTTGATGATTCCGTTACAACATCAGGTTGAGAATGGGGTAAGAGAACAATGGCCAAAACAGACTATTTCAAAAACTCCATAACGGTCTGATCGTTAGACAAACTAAGGCCTTCCCATCGACCTCATCTAAATATCTGATGCAGTCTTACAGAGGTGTATGAGAACATATTGACAGTCGATGGGTCTAAGTTTGATGATGCGTCTCTAGCACGGCTTGAGTAATCACGCGAAACATTGAGATTTGAGCAGTGCCTTTGAGTCGACAAACGACACAAAAATTGTTCTACCTGGGTCGACAGACTGGCCTATTTTTGCTCGTCCTGTGCATCTATCGTGCACTGGTGCGTTGTCTATGTAGAGGCGTCTTGATTTGTCCCCATTGGCTGAGAATCCAGACGGTTTTATCTAAATGATTTCGGGTTTTAGCGCAACGATCCTGGACGGCTAGGCTGATGCAAAATCACAACCCGCC